AAAGAAAGAAAGAAAGAAAGGAAGGAAGGAAGGAAGGAAGGAAGTCTCAAAGAAAGAAAGAAAGAAAGGAAGGAAGGAAGGAAGGAATACTATGTTCTACCTTAACATTAGACTTAGTCTAGGCCAGATATCCAAATAATAGTTGATTAAGATTGAAGTCGGGGGCTGGAGATATGACTCAGTTAACACTGGCTGCTCTTCCAGAGGATTTGGGTTTAATTCCCAGCACCTACATGGCAGCTCACAACTGTCTGTAACTTCAATTCGAGGGGATCCAACACCCTCACACAGACATACATTCAGGCCAAACACCAATGCACATTAAAAGAATTTGAGTCAGTCCTATTAAAAATACAAGATAAAAATAAAAAACAGTACTAATAAACTATGTTTTACAGGTTGGGGCATAGCTCAGTGGAGAGAACTTGCTCGCATGCATGAGGCCCTGATTTCTCAAGCAGATATAACAAGTTGGCATGATGATGTGTGCCTATCATCCCAGATTTCAGGAGGCCAGCCTAGGCTACATAGTTAGTTCCAGGCCACCCTGAGTCACTGAATGATACCCTATTATTAAGCATATTAGGGTTTTTTCCTTTTAAAAAAAATTTTTTTTGACCATTTTTTGTTTTGTTTTCTTTTACAGACAAGAGTCCCAAGTAGCCTGGGCTGGCCTTGAACTCACTAGGTAGCCAATGGTGACCTTGAACTTCTGACCATCCTGCTTCTACCTCCATACTTTTCCATCACTGGTCTATGTAGACCATCACTGGTTAATTATGTGTCTGATATGCTTGGTAAATTTGCTGTTGAGAAAAGAATCCTGCATTCATTATATGGGGAGTTTCACTGTGATCACACAACTTGGTGTTAGCGCTTCCATCTCAAGGGCAATAGGAGTTAAGGAATGCAGTAGAGGAGGCTGGGGGCTGGAAAGATGGCTGGGTGATGAAAAGCATATGCTGCTCTTGCACGAGACCCAAGTTCTGTTTCCAACACTCATATCAGGTGGCTCTCGACTGTCTGTCACTGCAGCCCCAGAGGGTCTGAGTCCTGGCTCCTCAGACCTGCACTCAAGTGCATGCACATGCACACACAGACACATAATTTAAAACACACAGACACATGATTTAAAACAGTATCGGGGCATGGTGGCACTCGTCTTTAATCCCAGCATTCAGGAGGCAGAATCGGGTGGGTCTCTTGTTAATTTGAGGCCAGCTAAGGCTACATGGTAAGATTCTGTCTCAAAAAGAACAAGTTTAGTTGTGAATTTATTTCCTCAGTTTTCAGATGTATCTTGTGTGTGTGTTTTACATTTTGATTTATTGTCCCAGTGTGTGCATGTCACCGTGCTCACGTGGAGGTCAGAGAACTTGCCAGAATCCCCTTCCTTCTTCCTCTGTGTGGATGTTAGAGTTGGAGCCCAGGTCATCAGGTTTGGCACCAGGTGCCTCTAGGCACTGAGCTGCTTCATTGGCCTGCCTTTCCAGATTTTAACTTTCTAAGTTGGGTGTGGTGGTGCATGCTTCTAATCTTAACCCTCAGAAGCTGAGGCAGGAGGATTGTGAGTTGGAGGCCAGGCTGGACTATACAGTGAGCTCTCAGCTAATCTGGGCTACGTAGTAAGCCAAGAGGTGGGGGGAAGTAGAGACAAGACTCGGTGGTTAAGAGCACTTGCTGCTTTTACAAAGGACCTGAGTTTGGTTCCCGGCACTCATAGGGCAGCTCACAACTATTTCTAACTTCAGTCCCCAAGAATCTGATGCTCCCTTCTGGCCCCCAGTGCAACAGGCACCATGCATGTAGGGCAGATACATGCATGCAAATGAACACTCATACAGGTTTTTAAAAGAAAGAACCATAACAGAATAAAGGTAAATAGAAATTACATTATTTTTGTGGTTTTAGACTGAAGTGTGTATATATTTGGCCCCACCATCTACCCAAATCAAGTACTCCAGGCTTTATTATCTTTCTCAGTCAGTGTCATGGTGCATACTTATAATTCTAGGACTCTGAAGGCTGAGGCAGGACTACAAGTTTGCAGTTAACCTTGGCTACCCTGTTTCAGAAAATAAAAGAACAAACTAACAAAAGTTATTCTTTTCCCTAGCTTCATACCCAATTGACTGACAGACTGTACTGATTATCATCCCAAACTGCTCATGTTCTAATTGCTTCTTTCCATTGCCAGTAACATTACATTTCATCAACACATCTAAGTTGTCTTCTTGCTTCCTCTTCCCTCTCAGTAATAGTATCCAAGTTCCTTGTGAACGATGGAACCTCTCATCATGGGATGTTTACCTCTTTTCAGCCATCTCTGTGGCATTTCCCCTTTGTCTTTCTCTCCGTTATTGATTGGTTCACTGGAACTCTTCTTGTTTCTCAGACGTTCTGAATCTGCTCCTGCCTGTTCTTTGTGCTTTTCTTCCTTCACCTTTGGATGCTGTCACCCATTCACGTAGCTAGATCATTATCAGCACCTCAGAAGGCCTCCTGAGTTCTGCAAAGGGACCGGCTCTGCTTACCCACTCTGCACATCAACCCTGGTCACGTCTCTGATGGATTAAAAGATCCCACATAGCTGACTGTGACGGCATACACCTGCAGGCTTAGCAGTTTGGAGATAGCTGCAGGAGGCTCACCAGTTTGAGGCTAGTCTAGGATACAGCGGAAGACTCTGGGCAGCCTGCAAACTGAGTCGGAACACAGTGAGCTCAGCCAATATACTGTGTGGTCCCAGAAAACTATCCAGAACCCAACCCAAAATGAGAAATTAAGTGGTTATTTTAACCTCAGTTTTGGGTGGTTAGTTATGTAGCAACAGGTAGCTGTCATCTGCTTCTTAGTTGCTGTGATAAAACATTAACAAAAAGCATCTTGGGGAAGAGTGGGTTTGTTTCACCTCACAGGTTACAGTGTGTGATTGAGGGAAGTTGGGGCAGAAACTGAAGCACCATGGAGGCACACCGCTTACTGGCTTGTCCCCTGTGGCTTGCTTAGCCTGTTTTCTTATACAAATTGAGACCACCTGTCCAGGGGTGGTAGTGCCCAAAGTGAACTGCTCTCTCTCACTTCAATCATTAATCAAGAAAACTCCACACAGACATGCCTGCAGGCCAGTCTGATGGAGGCAGTTCGTTAGTTGAGCTTCTCCCTTCCTGTGTGATTCTAGTCTGTGTCAAGTTGACAGAAATTAACCAGCAAAAATAACTAATTTAGTTTCTGCAATTACTTTCAGTTTTCTTGATTTGTCAAATCTCCTACATTAAAGTATAGTGCTCAGAAACTAGACAGCTTGCTCGCTGTTCTTCACACTGAGAAAAGTGCCTTGTACATGAATGCTCAGTATATCCCATAAATGATTGAAAGAACAGTTGAAACTACAGTCAGTCACGTAACCTGTCAGACAACATCTGCTTTCAGCCAGAATGGTGAAAGACAGCTTACGTTTCATCCCTGGTATTCTCCTTCTCCTGCTACCCAGTGACCCACCTTGTGTGAAATGAGATGAGATGATTGTTTCTGAAAGATATTTATTTATTTAGATGCATCTCTTTAACTATGCGTGTGTGCACCTAAGTGTATGTATGAACGCCATGCACATGCAGGTGCCTGCAGAAACCAGAAGAGGGAACTGGAGTTGTGGGTGATTTAAAGCTGCTTGGTGTGGGTCCTGGGAACTGAACGTCTCTCCAGCCCCTAATTCTTTTTTTTTTTAAATCTCCTTTTTATTTATCCTTTGTTTCTTTTACATCATGCATCTCTGTCTCATTGATTTCTCTGTCCCTTCGTATCCGCCCTTGCAACCGCCCCCCAAAATAAAATAAAATTTAAGAGAAAAGAGAGAAAAGGGAAAAATCAGTTTCATCATGGAAGCTGCACTCGACACAGTAAGTGATGCCATGTGTCTTTATTTGCAAGTGTCCAT